CCTGGATTACAGTGTGATCCTCTATCTCCGCCTGTTTTCTACACCGTCTGCCGCACTTTTGAGAAGCCTGGCTTTTGTAAATGTGTACGTAAATTTATATTTATGGTTTCATGGTGACATATCGTGTGATTACTTTGGTTAGAGTGCATATTTCCTTGAAAGTATGTTTCCAGTTACAGTATGTGGCCACTGTACATACAGATAAAAAAGAAGAGTAATTGCATAAACATTAACACATACATTTTATTTAAGATTACTTCTACATGTGTTGAGTTTTCCTGGTAATGGCCACTCTCTTGATATTACACTATATATATTTTTTTCTTTTGAGTGAAAGGACTGCTTATATCATGTTTCTTTCTGTCTGTGCCATCTAAGAGTGGCTTTTTTCTGTCCAAGCCGATGCAAAAACACACATGTATAATATTGTTACAGTGTAAAAGTTGTTTTATTATCTATGACTACAGGTATGGGACTGGAATCACACACTGGCCTCCAGAATTATTGAAACACACAGCCAATTGGCTGTAAAAAAATCGGATTAGTGTGCTTGTGATACTGTGTAGTGCTGCCAGCATCACAACAGTGATGTCATTTGGGATCATAGGAGAATAAGTATCTGAAATAGCAAAGAGAAAATATCATACTGAGAAGAAAAGGCAGGAGAAGGTTCTAAAAGATGCACGGTTGTGTGTTGGGGTGTTCAGAGAAACTAAAGCCAAGTTTAAGATCAATTATGAATGCTTGATATATTTAAGCTTTGTTTGTGACATATGGAAAAGACAAAAGTTTGATTGGTTTGTTTACACATATGTGCTGCTAAGTTTTGTTAGAAAAACACATCCGATACTTAATATTGAGAAAGCAAGTCGGAAGGAGTTAGTCAGTTTGTTTTTCTACAGGAATGTAACTCCAGGTTGTAACTGTTATAACTGTAATTTATAATATAACACGAATAATTGAATATAATTATAAATATTTGAATTATATTTACAGTGGAAGTCAAGGAACTCAATTTGTAATGTATCAGAATTTTATCAGTAAATAACTTTTAAAAATCTAAAATTTCACTACTTGAAAATGCATTTCTAATTTTTTGACCACTTAGGGGCAACACTGATGAAGTGTTGTGTTATATTTTTAGCTAATGTTAGCAACAACATGACTATTTATGCATCTAATAGACACAGGATAACATTATTATTCCATTGAGTTTTTATTTTTTGTCAGGTTCAGCAGTCTCTTTTATCTCAGTTTTGGTCTCCATCAACTACTGACAATGATATCTGGCACTTTAACTCTTCACCTTGGAAGCTAACTTTTTGTTTCTTAAATTTTTTTGCCAGTTTTTACTTGAATTATTGAGAACAGCTTGAAACGAGGTTGAGGAGAGTGGTGGAATCTCCACATACACACAGTAAATATGACAAAACACAACAATGAGCTACAAGGGGCTGAAAAGCAACATAAAGCTGCAGATTTTTGGGATAATTTTCTGTAGATCCGTCATAATGGGTTCCCCCTCTCACCCTAACACATGTATCAATTGGCTTTAAAGATTATCAATAAAAATAGTAAAAGTGTTGTTAACATGACAAATAAAAAGCTTTGCTACTTCACAAGCACACTAACAAATATTATTAAAAATCACGATTTATTCTTGTGTATATATTTGTATTTATTTGTACATCTTTATTTTACTTATTTAATTTTGCAAAGTTCAAGTCCAAATAGTTTTATACAGCATATGCTAGGTTTATATGTACATAGTCAGTCTTATACAAGCAGTGTGTGAAAACTCATTTAAAATGTGTGAATCACAGATTTGTATTGGCTTTCCCACAGTGGGAATAACTCTGGAGTACAGTGTGGATTTGTTGGTGTTAAGTAGAGCGGTGTGGCCAACTGCCGTTACATGTTTATGCTCACTATCCATATCCAGTGTTTATTTCAGGCACATTTCAGCATCCCACCACATATTTTTGAAATAGTTGCAGGTACTAAAGCATAGGATTGTAAACATAAACCTGCTTTGTGCCCGTGTCAACTTCAGTGAATCATGTGTAGAAATACTTTTAATAGTCACATTACTCTGCCTGCAAGTACTTTGAGGAGCTGGCCCAAGTGAAAGCATGCAGGCAGAATTTGGGAGCTTTTTTTTTCATAGTAAAATGATCATAGATCACAGATTAATTGCTGTTTACACTAAACTGGACTAACTCAAAAGCCATAAACATTCCTCATCAGCAACAAAATAACAGGGACACTCAATGATTGTACTTTTTTGAGCATGAGACACAAAAATCATGGAAGCTCTTAGTTGAGGTTAGGGACAGGTTGGTTTGGTTGTGGTTGGATATCCGTTAAATCATGTTAGATAAAGTAAAAAAGTTCTTGTTATTGTTTTCTAGAAGATACAGTTGCTCCTTCACAATCTCTGCCATGTTCACTGTATGTTGATGAGACAAATCATATTCTGCCCCATATCAGTAGCCATATTCAAGAGGTTTTTACATAAAGCGATATGATTTTTGCTTCACATCAATATTTTTGCTCAGTTTAGCTTAATTTGATTGTTGAGTCAAACTTTGCATGAAGATGAAATCAGAGTTTTATTTATTTTTTACTGATTTTGTTGTCAGATAGAATTATTTATAGCTCAGTTTTTATTCCAACATCCTGATAGAATATTAAACATTCCAGATTAAATGATTGTTCACGAGGTGGATGCTTGATTCAGTGCACAGTTTCTAATAAAACACATCATTTCAATTCTTTATATCTAGCCTGTGTCGGTCTCTGTGGGTGTATATCACAAACAAATGACATGGTTTTCTCAAAGATTTTAAAGAATTGTGACCAGGATATGTACTGAGTGGGACAATTTACAGCTTATACATGAATGAACCTTTCTGGAGAACAGAGAATTGCTGGCATTTCTGTAAAGTTTTTTGTTGCTTATCAGTTGTCATGTATGATAATAAGTGTGTACAAGCTGGTGCAGCCTTATTCAATTTCAGGTGACTGCAGGGCCTTGGTGAAGGTATGCGATCTACTGCACTGGCAATATTTCTTCACCAACCACTTTGGCTGCAAGACCTGCATGTTAAAAGACATCTTCATAATGTACAGCCCAGTCAGATCATGAGACCATGAGTGAGGCAGCCCTTCCTCAGCAGGAGAGGAGGCTGTCAGCCGATGCTCTAATGCTGCCAGAGACTATCATTACAAGTGTGTTGGTAAGACCCACAAAACGCCCCGTGGCACTGAGCTGTAATGTAAAGCTTGCTGAAGTTTTCATTTGCAGCCTGATCTCTCCACCACTTGAGCTCTGCACAGACCACAGTGTGAGGTCGTTTTTTCCCCGAGCGTAGACACTACATCCTCAACCGACCCTGCTCGCTGTAATGTTGCATGAATGGTTAATGGTCGGAGAGTTCAACAAGGGTCATTCTGACAATGTCATAATACTTCATCAAAGCATTTCTACATGTCATAGCAGGAAAAGCACAATCGTATGAAAACATTCACTATGGCTGCATTACTGTGATCAAGCTGAGGCCTCGTCCACCTGTGTTCTTCCTGCTATCCTCAGTAAAAATGTCAAAGATTAAATGAGAGAGAAACCAGGGAAGAGGAAGACTGTCCTCCCCAAAAAGGAAAAACCTTACATTTCATCAGTGAGCGTGATGTGTCAGGTGATGATGTCATAGTGGATGGACAGGAGACTACTGCTGACCTCTCATTTAAAGTGACAGTCAAGGTTGTTTTTTGTTGTACAATCATAACCAAACCTTTATCATTGTAACCATGACGATGAAGAATGTCAAACCTCGACCAAGTACTTCCAAATCCAATCCAAACCTTAATATTTGCCAAATTCTTTTTGTGCCTAAACCCAAACAGACATTTACCACAGTGATTTTTTTACATCTTTATTTATTCATTGTGTATCTCCTGCCACTGTAGGGTCGCTAATATATGAAGTATTCATATGAGTCATATGTGTCAGAGGGTAGGAACAGTGTGAACAAACCACCTATGTGGATATTTAGGTTGCAGGACTTGTTCGGAGAGGAGGAGTTGTAGCTGCCATCTTTAATTGAACAGCCTTATTCTGGGAAATGAGGTAAAGACCTGCGTAGTGCAGAAGACGAGAGTTTCTGAGAAACTGGAAATGTCTTTGACTCAGCTTGTCAGCGTGATGTCAAATGATCACTGAAGGTTTTTAAAACACTGAGTTATATCATCTGTAAGAACCAAAAGCATCGATCTGTAGAAAAAAGAGAGAAAGAAAATACGATTACATGAACTTGGTCTAATGGAGGCTTGTTGTCCCTGGTTACACAAAGAAGAGAAGCAGGAATCTATTCTTGTGCAAGAGGCAGCTTCGTTGTCATAGCAACTGAAATCCATTTTTATCCTCGGCTGAGAGATGGAGTAGGCGGGACTTCCGGCTGTCCACGCGCTCTCAAAGAAGAATGACAAGATAATCATCCTCCATCGACGCTTTCAAACGATAATGTCTGTATTGCTATTCTCTGTAATTAGACCACTGGCTCTGAACTGAATCAACATCACTCTGTCAGGAAAGATTCTCTTTGCCGTTTCAAGTCGTTTCTGACCCATCAGCATCCACTTTGACATGAAATAGTAATAGGTAAACACGTATGGTATAATCACGTTAATTAATGAATGCCCTGTACAGAGACAGAGCAGAACCTCCATTCACTGTGTCAGAACAAACCTGTGTTACCTGTCATTGCTGTGGAATGGGTCCATTGTCATTTTTAAAGTTGCAGGAAAGAAATAAAACACAGCAACGTTTTTCAAAGCTCATTAGCATTACAACACAGTCCGGATCAATTACACACCCACCGTGTCATATTTAGATAAATACGCTTTGTTTGCCAGGCTCGCCATTACAAATGATAGATTAACAGAATTCCTCTTGACTCTTTCCATCATCTTTGGTCTAGGGGAAAAAAACTGCATTTCCCACAATTCTTTGCCGGATAATTGTCATCCAAAATGTCAGCTCCCGTGGAGCTCGTGCATCGGGGTGAATACATGTAAAGTACTTTGTTTTCATTCTGTTTTCATCGTTCACCAAGGCTCCGCTGCCATGACAGCAGCAGTCTGCGCACAGTGCAGCGCAGCGAGCTAACGCTAGCTAGCATTTGCTCATCATGCTGTGAGTCTCCTGCTGAACGAAGACATGTTGTTGTCCGTGCTGTCTCCTGTATGGAGGAGAGGTGCTCCTCACGTCACACTGTGCAGAAGGAGGACACCAGAGCACAGTGTGAGCTACACAGTGTGGAGACACCGCTGGATGAAGACACTTCCTGTGTCCTCCAGCTGCTGCAGGAGGAGCAGCACACAAACACACAAGGTAACAACAAGCAGTCAGCTGTGTTTACATCACTGACACATGTTATTGTCATAGTAGGCCTACATGTTATTATTACATGTAGTCAATTACTTTCTTAAATCACTGAACAGAGTTCCAGTCCATCACTTGCCCCATTCAGATAGTTACTTAATATTATCATTTAACGATAACAAAATATATCGACTCTACTGTAAGGTGGGTTACTGTTACAGTTTAGCTGTTGTTGACGACTTTGTTCCTCTGGTTCCTCAGGAGAACATCGACCTGTCCAAGTTCCCTGTGGACAGAATCAGGAACTTCTGCATCATCGCCCACATTGATCATGGAAAAAGCACCCTGGCTGACAGACTGCTTGAGATGACTGGTATGCCTGCTCACCGCACAGACATTGAATTGAATTCTAAAGAGTTTTAAATATCATATTAAGAGAGCTTTTACTGCAGTTTCATTGATAAACAGTGGTATTTAAATGGAATAAATACTTATAGTGGCATATAAATCAAAATAAATGCAATCTTAAATGGATTATTCACTCTAAAATCGAGTTTTTTTGAGGTTGGACATGTAATTTTTAATTTAGGTTGTGTTCGTCTTCATGTACCTTAATTACATCTATAATGATGCTTACTCTTCTGCAGAAATCTCACGTGTTACATCGATACACATACCGAGATTATTCATACAGACCCTGTAGTTCCAGAGATTTACACTAAATTCATTTGGGGCATGTACGTTTCGAGCAGGGGCCTGGGACAAGGCCAGATTTTAAGAAGTTAAACTGGTTTGACAGAGGGGTAGTTTAAAGAGTCAATTTTAGCCTGATGGTAAAAATGTCACCATGAACCTCACCGTGCAAGAGATCACTGTCTATTTGAACACATAGTACTAAGTAAGTGATTTAAAACTTTCCTCAGCCACTCTGAAGATGATTATAACTCAATGAGGTGTTCCCAATGTCCCTGACAAACAGGTGCCATCGTGAAGACTGAGAAGAACAAACAGGTGCTGGACAAGCTTCAGGTGGAGCGAGAGAGGGGGATCACAGTGAAGGCCCAGACGGCCTCATTGTTTCACAGCCACCAGGGGCAGCAGTATCTCCTGAACCTCATTGACACACCGGTAGGTCCTCAGCTGGGTGGGAAGTTGGTAAAGAGAGGGTCACTGCAGGAAGGTCCTTGATTTGAATCCTGGTTTCGACCAGTGTCTTTCTGTGGAGTTTGCATGCTCTTCTCTTGTCTGTGTGGGGTTCTCTGGGTTCCTCCCAAAGTCCAAAGACTTGCAGGCTGGGGTGAGGTTAATTAAAGACTCTAAGTTGTGAATGTTATTGTGGATGGTTGTTTGTCTCTGTACAACCTGGACCTGTACGACCTGTTCTGGGTGTACTCCACTTTTTGCCCAAGTCACCGCCGGATTGGTTCCCTGTGACCATTACAGGATAAGCGATATACATAATGGATGGGTGAAAGTCTAAATGTTCCTCTGTTACTACAT